TGGTCAAAGATAAAATGCTCATCAACATTATCAAAATAAAAAAAAAAATCTCTTAGTCACAGTCAGTTGAGATGAGTAAGTCTAACAAGCCTTAATTTTTGTGAGATCGTCCAAGTCAAACTTTATCCTTTTCTCAAGAAAGATTCATCCATTCTAAAATCTGTTTAATTTGGATGATGCTATTAAAATCAACATCAAAAGGTTCAGTTAAACTTAGTTTATCAAAACCTGTACCATATTCCAAATTTAAAAATGATGATGATAAAATAATAATTCATAATGATCAAGATATGAATAATAATCAACGTTTATCATGTATTACTAAAACGAAAACAACAACGTAAATAACGAATAATCATCAGGTAAGAATTCTATAAAAGAGATATTTCAATTTTATGTAAAATTATATATTTTTAAAGTCGATGTTTTATTATTCAAATTGAATAAATAGCAGTCGAGATAAACTAAATTCATATTATATTTCCGGTCTTATCGTACGAGATTTTTACAATTAAATCAAATAAATACACAAGTGTTTTTCTTGTATGTTTTAACTTGAATTGAACGCTTTGCCTTCGTGCCTTTACTAGAAGTAATAGTTTCACCCTCATCCTCATCCCATACAATGAGTACATGTACTCAGTCGGCTATCTGTACCTGATTGTACATAGTCATTTCCATTTGAAATGGGCATTAATTGATACATAAGAGAATAGTCAATAAAAACAATGGCTATTGTTCTCCATCATCATTCGTTAAGACCAAAAAAAGAAGAGCAGAATCGTCGACTACCAACTATATATATATACTCAGCCTTTTTTATCATTCATATTCTTATTAAGTAGTGCTTAATGTTGTTTACAAGAGTTGAATAATGTCTGAAAAAGAAGTAAATGATATATATGTTACATATGTTTATTTTGGAGTAGTAGTCTTATCAATTTTTATATTTGTAGAATCCAAATTCTCAACTATTATTACAAATGGAACAGCTACGTCAGCAATTCAATCAAGGTCTTATTTCATTGGAAGATTATCTCAGCGAAATAAAAAAGCTTATTAATGGAGCAAATATCAATTAAATGATATTAGATGATCATTCTTCTCTTCATTCATCAATTCTGTTTTTTTTTGTTATTTTCATCAGTTTGTCATATCATATCCTTTTTTTCGTCTTTCATGATGATAAAGTTTTCTTTTTTTTCCTGTTCTTCTTGATATTCATATTTATTTGTCTTTGTCATATTCAATTCATTTTCTATAGATTGGCTATTCAATATGATGATTAATTGAAAAGACATTTTTCTTTTTTTGTTTTGTTATTTAAAGTGCCATTGAATGATCATTTGATATAAATAGAAGAAAAAAACACATCCAAAATAACAAATTCATAAATATCATTTTAAACAAAAAAATGGCAAACGAATGAGAATTGAATTAGTTTTATATGTTAATGAAATAACTATGAATATTTAATACTCTTCTATTTGTTAATAGTCATGTACATCATGTTTTTGCTTGTCAATTGAATCAAGATTCAATGGAAAAACTTCCTCATAATGTTTAAGAGCCCCCTTCCTCCTTTAGAAAATCCAATTTTTCAAAGAAATATTGAAGTTGAGTTTTTGTCATAGGAAGATGCAACGAAACTTCCTCTTCCAGAATATATATGGCTTTTTGCAAAAATGATCAGATTTTCAAAGACCTATCACATGAAACTTGGAACCTACCACCATATTTTTCGAGAAAAATTACACTCCGCGGATCCACAGAAGATTTTTTTTGAAAAAAACCGCTGGAGGAGAGTACGGGTGTAATTTTGACGGAAAATATTTTCTAATAAAATACATGTCATTCTACTCAGATTTTGATGCTGATTCCGAATATCAGATGCATTTTGTTTAAAAATGAACTGTTGATGATTAAAATTGCCAAATACGAGCAGAATTTGTATACAATATGGTGACATTTGAGAATGTTGAAGTATAAAACAGGACTTCGGACAAAAAATTTTAAAATTGCGATGGCATCAAAAGAAAGCTCAATATATATAAACATGTTTTTGAGAAATTTTCGTTGAGGGGGTATTTTTTATTTTTGAGATAATGACATCTCAAGATTTTGTACATTTTCGATGTGTGAACCCTTGGATGGCTTTGTTCAGATTTTTTTTTAACATTACGAGTTTTGGAAAAATAAAAATTATACAGAAGGATAGAGTCTTTAATGCTGATTCCAAATATATAATTAGAATTTTAAAAATCTTTTTTTATGACAGAGAAAAGTGTACTTCAAGGGTTCGAATATATCCATATTTTACCTCATTATCTGGGCGTAAAGATATAGGCCTATCTCAGTAAGTACGAGTTCATTTGGAAAAACTGAAATGAATAAATGTGAGGCAGGATCCAAGGTACAAAATAATAATATTAAAATAACATCTTAGGGGGATGACAGATTTCGACTCTTATCGTGCGTGGTCTTTTTCATAGTTTTCCCGTTTTACATGAAAAAAATCATTACTGCCATAAGACAATTTGACTCCAGCAATACCAGCCTCTTCTATCACTTTTATTAATGATAAAATCAAATAAAATGTTAAACAGGATTGATGATGGTATTCCACCTTGTTGAACGCCAGTTTCAATTAAGAAACTATCCGATAATTCATCTTCAATTCTCACTTTTGCCTTTGTAATATCAATGAAACACATGAATAATGATTTGTTCGATTCCCTACTTTTTTCCATTGTGCTTTTCAATATGTATATTTGGTCAATAGTTGATCTCCAAGCACGAAAACCAGACTGCGCTTCTAAGAGTTGATGATTGATCATATTTTGAATACGATGCATGCCCGAACATTCCATCCGCCAAATAGCACGTGAAATTGTGTATTGGTACATTTGTTTTTCTTCTTCTCGTTAGCAGAAATAGTTTAGTGTCCAAACCGAGAGAGTGCTATCCCCACGACCAAACCGTTGGCTATCAGTAACTCAGGATCGCCTTCTCACTGTTTTAAAAACAGTGAGCCCTTGTGTGAATTCGAAAACTCACCCGAGAGACAAGGAAGATAGTCAAATGATTAAATGCTCATCAATATAATCAAAATCTCTTATTCACAGTCAGTTGAGATGAGTAAGTCTAACAAGCCTTAATTTTTGTGAGATCGTCCAACTCAAACTTTATCTTTTTCTCAAGAAAGATTCATCCATCTTAAAATCTGTTTCATAAGACTTCTTATCCACACATATAGTCAAGTACAGTATCACTTACACTAAATGGTATGAGTACTATTAAACCAGACTAGTGCTAACATGAAGGAAAGGTTGTCTTTATGAAGTTTAAAGTACTGACGAACATATTTTACTTTTTCAACTTCTATCTTATTTGTTTGTGGTAGGATGATAATTGGTTTTGACCTTATTCAGTTTTTAATGATTATGAAGAGTATCTTTTGACCATATTCTAATAAGTAATGACAATAATCCTTGAATTTCATCTGATAAAAAAACTTGGTTTTTGTAAAAAAAAAATAAACTTATAATCAGTGCTAGTTTGGGATGGTCTGATAATCAGCTTATGAGCTATGGTGGGACATTGAAAATGTAGCAAGATTTCGAAACATGATAAGATATTGTAATTTACAATAATTATCTACTAAATGAAAAACATTCGTCATTATAGAACATGAAACATATTAGAGTATAATAAATAGCAGTGTAACTATGAGAACGAAATCACAGTCTGGTTTGTTCTTACGAATGAAACTTTTTTTATTGACATGTCACTGTGCTGAACAGTTTATTTAAAAACAACTTATATTGAAAATGATAAGGAAAGACTTTATTGATTTCATTTGGAAATGACTAAGTAAAGCAATTTGACAGACAACTAGGAAACATAAAAATGAGAAAAAGATCTTAAAAATTTGTTTAAGTAGGCCATAACCATCGTTTGAATTTTGTCAATGAACCTTAATTAAAATTATATAAAAACTTTTATAAATAAATATTTATCTTACTTTTTCTATTTTTAGGCAAAACTAAGATATATACAATATCATCTGAAGCATAATTTAATGGTGATAATACTGTAATACCATTATCTGTTCGAGTAAATGTTGTTGATTGATAAAATGTTTTCCAATCATAAATTCCATCATATTTAAGATCATGATATATTATACGTAATAAATCATAACGATCAATGGGTATTTCATATTCAATTTCTTGAATTGAACCATCAGCTAATTCAAGTTTTAATGAACGTCGATTTGATTCAACAGATAAATCATTTTGTTCTTTCATTGATACATAATGTTTTTGAATGAAAAAAATTAGTCGTATAAAAAAGTGAAATTCACTCTTGGCAAATCAGAATGTTTGACATATATCGCCTGGCAACGGACTTTATTTTATAGCTAATTAAATTTACTTTCATTTTCTTTGACGATATATTTCATAAGCAAATGTGAAATACGAAAATATTTTACATATAAATATTAGTCATAAATAAGAGAAATTCGAAAGGAATTTAATAAATGATGGGGCTAATACCGCCCTCTACATATCGAAGTACTTGTTGTTGAAATATTTTATTTCGTCATCAGTCACTCAGTAGACAACTGCGTATAAAGCATCACGTAGTCCAGTTCGTTAGAACACGTGACTTGGCACGATGATTTTTCTTTCTTTTCTGTACTTTACTCGTGCTGACATACGTTTTACTATATATTTAGTCTCTCTTTCATTTTGTGTGTTATTTATATACGACAGAGAAATAGAGGACTTCACAACTTTGAAAGACTCTATGAAACTCAATAACAATGTCTTTACTATATTTCTATTATGTATGTAAATTTTTTCTTTTTTTTTTTTTAGATTTATTTTATAAACAAAAATAATTTGATCTAGACGAGAAAAGATGAATAAATTTTTCTCAATTATTTGTCTTATTGTTATTATTTCTACTGCATTAGCTAAAACTTCAGTAAAAGATAAAACGGTTGATGCTGCAACTGACTTAAAAGACAAGGTTGTTGAAACGGTATGTATTTTTTTTTTATTATTATTTTTCTCTATATTCGATTAAATATTATATTTAAATAGGTAAAAGATGCATATGATGCAGCTTCACCTAAAGTAGTCGAAGGTGCTGAATTTATCAAAGAAAAAGTTGTTGATGGAGCTGAATTCGTAAAAGAAAAGGCTAGTGAAGCATATGATAATCTTGCTCCAAAAGTAGCTGAAGGTGCTAATTATTTAAAAGATAAAGCTATTGATGGAGCTGAATTTTTGAAAGATAAAGCAGGTGAAACTTATGAAACTCTTTCACCTAAAGTAGTTGAAGGTGCCGAATATATCAAAGATAAAGCTGAGGAAGCTTATGATACTCTTAAACCAAAAGTTGTCGAAGGTACAGAATATTTAAAAGATAAAGCTGGTGAAGCTTATGATGCTCTTAAACCAAAAGTTGTTGAAGGTACTGAATATTTAAAAGAAAAAGCTGAAGAAGCTTATAAAACTGGAAGTAAGAAAACATATTTTATTATTATTTTTTGAAAATATATTTATTTTTAAGGTAAACTCGCCGAAGAATATAGTGAAATTGGTAATTGAAAATATATTTATTGTATTTCATTTTTAATTTCTAATTTTTATAGCCAAAGAAAAATTAGCTAACATTGCTGACGATGCCAAAGCTTCAGGTAAGAAAAAAATTCATATTGAATTTAGTTTTTTTTTTTTTTTTGAATGATATATTATTTAGCTCAAAATTTCGCTGATGATACAGTTAAAGCTAGTAAAGAATATGCGAAAGAAGGTGTAAAACAAGGTCAAAAATTAGGTGAACAAGCTTTTGAACTTGGCAAAGATAAAGGTTTGATTAATACATATTTCAATAATTCATGATAACAATCTTATTTTTTTTTATTATTATTTGTAGCGAATGAAGCACTTAAAGCTGCTCAACAAGCTAGTAAGTTTTATTGTCTTATTTAGTTAAATTAAAGTATTTTTAATGTTATAGGTGCTGATGCATATGAAGCTTCACTTAAATTAGGTGCTGATGCTGCTAAAAAAGGTCGAAAATTAGGTAAATTAATCTTTTTTTCTTTATGAATGTTCGTCATTTTTTGTTTCTATTAGCTGAACAAACACTTGAATTGAGTCGAGATAAAGGTAAAAATATTTCTTTTATTATCTTTCATTATAAATAAATTTATTGAAATTATTTTAGCTAATGAAGCATTAAAAGCAGGCAGACATGCTGGTAAATAGTTTTTAATTAAAATTTTTGAAATTTCCTTTATAAATTGTTCGATTTAAGGTGAAGATGCAATGGAATCAGCGCAAGAATATGCCAAAGATTCGAAAAAGAAAGCAAAGAGAAAAGTACAAGAAGCTACCGAAGAAGCAACTGAAGCAACACAAAAACTTAAACGAAAAGCTACAGAATTATAAACAGATGTAAAAATACTTTTTTTTCCGATAACATATGTTAGTCACGAGTCCTATCGTTTCTTTATGGCAATACTTTGTTTTTTTTTTATAATATTTTATTGTTATTCAAGCTGTTAACCTGTGTTTCTTGTACATATATCGTATTTCTTTTTGTTCGTTTGCTAGTAAATAAAATAACATATACAAATCGATATGTATTTCTTGGACATATTTCTTTTTTTTTTAATGATTGATTTTCATATTGACTAAATGCCATAAAAAGATGAGTACTTCTCATTAAAGAATGCTAATGTAGTTCAGTTTAACAAAATTGATTATCGATATTCACGTTTTCAGAACTTATATGCAACTTATTTGATCTGTTATGGTCTATTTGGAACAATTATTTCTCATTTTCGCTATGTTAGTGCGATATCTAATACAGTTTCATTCAGTTATCTTTTCATTATGAGTTTCACTAGATTTTGTTTTTCTATGAAATAGTCATTAAATCATTAAGAATTATTGAACTCTATTTGATTTTTATACAATCATATAACAGGAGATCTATGTCAATATCTACTAGAATAGACTTCCAAGTGAGAGTCATTGAGATGGACTAGCTGATTTTGGTAGCATAATGTGTTTTTCCTCATGGAGTTTTCAATTAAGAAAACAGCCGATGTTATTCATAGAGGATCACAGCGAATATATGACGTATTCTACATATTGTGCTCCATGAAATTCATATGTAATAATTGATCTCGTCACGCTTTACTGTCCATTCACACAGCGTAGTAAAATGAACAACTGTTACTTGACTGCTATACTGTCAATTAGCCTATTGCACCGACGCAATCGATCGGTGGTTATTCATGAGTAGTTATACCATGGATAATCATTTAAGACAAAATGATAAGAAAACAAAAAGATTGTTGAATGAATGGTAAAGTAGACAAAAAATAAGGTAGTATTGTGAATGACTCAACAAATGCAGGTGAATGAGATCATGTAACTTATAAATGATGAATACATAAAAAAATCACACATTATGAACAAGTCAGATTATTAATCTTACTCCATTTATTTGGCTCTTCTAGTGGACAGAAGAACAAGGTGACCTAGTTTTCATGCTCATGGTCTATCGAGGAACACTGTTGCCGGAAAATTCAATTGCAAAATAGCAGCAAGCTAACCAAAATGATCTTCATTTCTTTCTAGTTTTTACATGGACAGAATGACATTGATGAGTCATTGACATGTTTGAAGGAAATATTATTTTCACGATTAACATTTTTCTTGAACATAACAACGGCATACAGCGTTAGTCAAAGTTCTCATATAAAGGATTCAAGCTTTGCTTATATTAGATTCGAATGTCTTAGACTAGCATTAAAAAAGAGAATAATTCAGATGCAAGAAATAGGTCTTTGTCCATCGACTCTGTTATAGATGCGACTAGGGGAACATTCCAAAGGAAAGCATTACTGAAAGATGAGAAAAAATGTGTTAATTCAGCGAATCATCAAAATCATTATAGCGAATTACGTCTTACCCTGATTTTGGTACTTCATTTCACCATAAAGATACTCAGGTTCAAGTCCTAGACAGACTGAACGAATGCAAGATTCAACTCGAGGATATATTTTTTTCTTCAACAGTGATATCATTTATATCGATGATTCTGAATGCGATACTCAGTACTATCCCATGTCGTTCAAGCTACTATTGTTTTGTATTTAAGTGCATCAATATTTTAAATTCTTAGCAAATTGTTAGATTTCAGTCGAAGTTGCATCCCATTATTATTAAGAGCGCGTTCAAGTCTTCTGTGTCAACTACATCGGCTGTTATCGTTTAGATGTTGAAATCGATCTCTGAAAAACTGAAAATATGAATTAGACAGACAAGTCATAAAAAGCTTGATGAAAAAAAGGAGTAAACTGTTAGAACTATCGAGTTTTAATGGAAAATTGACGACATAGAAGTCCGATGTTATCGCATTATATCGGCTTGTGAAAAAAAAGACAATTTTGAAAACTCTAAAATACCACAGAAGAGCAAGATGATGTGGATTATAACGAAAAACGAGATACTCTATTGGATTGACTCATGCTGCATCTGTTTCTTAACGTTACTTTTTTCAAACGAGAACGGGTGAAAAAAAAAAGGTTAAAAAAAAAAAACAACTGTCACGTTGCTCGCACAAAAATAATGGTTCCTCTTGCTTTGGTCGACATTGTGTCAGTATGCCAACATTCGTTTTTTTTTTCGTAACAACTCCACATACTATTAGAATGATATTTCATTCGTAGGATTCTTCATCAACACTCATATTCATTTCTCGTGCTAAAGATTTTATACATCCTTGAAAATCTTTCAATCATACATTATAATGGCTGAGCTTTCAACTTTTGATATGTTACCAGATGAAATGTTATTACATATATGTCAATATCTTCGTTGTGCCGATATTCTCTATTGTTTTTACAATCTAAATACTCGTCTTAATATTACCATAATTGATTTTTGTCATTATGTCAATATCACAGGTGTTCAATATAAACAATTTCAATATGTTGCATTGAAAATTTTACCTGAAATCGGTTCATCTATTCGATCAATTGTTTATCATGGAAATTGGCAAGCTGTTGTGTCGGATCAAATACGTTCAATATTGTTTTGTTCGAATTTGTCCATGATATTTCCACAATTACATACATTGATACTTGTATCGTTTACAGGTGAACAACTATTTACATTTCTTGATGCAATTAAAGATCTTGTGCAACTAGTCAAGCTTGATATTCATTATCTTGAAAATATAGTTCCAGAAGAATTATTGAAAAAAGTTCTAGCTGCTAATGATGGTCGACTGAAATCGATATCATTCGATTATGATTCAGTTGATCTGATTTTGACTGAAGCTCAACATGATCAATCTATTTCATATCCGAATATTGAAGAATTGACAGTCGGTTTGATGAAATGTGAAGCACTAGAATGTCTATTTACGCTTGTGCCAAATATCAATCGACTACACGTGAATTTCGATGATTCATCAAATTTATCATTAGAAAAATTAAAAGACATGCCATTTCTAATATATTTGAAAGATTTTCAGTTGCGTTCAATGGATATGTATTGGACATTTGACAAAATCAGTAATATATTGACTAAAATGCCATCTCTACGAAACTTAGCGCTTGATCTATCGACAGAAGATGCATGTCTTGTTAACGGACACAATCTTGCTGCAATTTTACCTACATCACTTGTGCAACTCAATTTGTTCATTATTTATTTCCTTTCAGAATCCTGTAGTCAATCAGATAATTTGCTTATTACATGGCCGAATCATATTCCTATAGCATATTTGTTGAGTGCATGTCATCGATATGCTATTATTCATACGATTCCTTGTGATCTATCTTCCATTGTCATTGCAGCACAAATAAGTAAACAAATGTTAACTGGTTGGGAATATATGCAAAAAGTTAAGCATCTAAGAATTTATGGATCAGCATCTTTCACTGACATACCTATGATCGTACAACATTTTCGTCAACTTCGAACGCTCAAGATTGATGTAGATTGGAATTCAGAAGCACGTATGTAACTTCTTACAATAAGATGCATTTGAATAGCAATTCAAGTATAAAAATTTTTTTTATCTTTCCATGGAAAAAAGATGGTCAACGATGTAGTAAAATTGCTTTCTATAGATTTTGAAAATTTCAGAGTTAGAAATCGTCTAATTTCTTTTCCATTTCACGATAATAGCTGTATAAACAATTATTATCGATGTTGCATTGTTATTTTGATCAATCTTTTTTATATGGGAGAACTGATTGAGCTAGATTATTTTTATAAAATTCTGTTTAGTTCATATGACATTCAATCAAGAACACTTAAATATATATTTACATTTATATGTTTAGATCCGAAACATGTAAATATTTGATGTTAGACAATGGGCTTTCTTTAAAGCTGAATGAATAACAGACTTTATATTTATTTTGCGGTGACAGAGAGAAGAAATAAGCAAATTAAGAGTATCCAATGTGACCATTCTGTATCCGATAGACCCAAAACATTTCATTCTAGAATGAGTAATTGATGATTTATTTCAATATTATATAACTAGAGTAACGAAATGTTGAATTTAAACTGTGATCTAGTCATTACATAAACTTTTGGAAATGACAAGATTATATTTTAATGATGAGTTTGAGTTCATATCTTTGTTCTTTTTTTTTTTTGGTCGACAATCGCAATTCTATTCTATCATTATATAAAACAAATTACAGCTATATGACTAAAATGTCTCTTGACATAGTTGAACTCAAGTTTATGAACATTTTCGAAATAAAATATGACTATATACTCATGTTATTCCAGAAAAAACGACTACTGATAGCAATACAGCTAAAGTCGTTTTTGAAAGAAGAATTATATCTGAAATATTTATATTCCAATCTTTCATACAAGATTGTTTAGAAATACTGAAGAGTTTAGTAGCTGACTCGGAACTCCTTGCATAACTATGCAAATTATTTTATTGTTTAGGTTTTTATTAGAAACCTGTCTATAAACTAATGTCAATTATACTCTTTCGAAACTTCAGAGAAGTTGTGAGCTTTTATACTCGTCTACATATTATTGTGCACATCTGAACTTGAAACTAAACTCTGTTTTTTTCCCTAGATCAAATGTTTATCTTCGATAATTATTTCAGGAAATATTTCAAGCGTAATTTTCACCTAAACTTATACAGTTACCTAATTTCAAATAAAATAAAATGGTCGAGTTCTATCTAGCCCTTATATTGATTATGTACATCGTTTACATATAAGTCATATAGAGATTTCATTGAATCATTTATTTTGTTTCGTTGAATTTCTTTTGATCGAAATCTTGACTTTTGTTAAAACAATGTTATGATATTTAATTCTTGTTTGTTTAACTGATTGATGTTCATTGCTTTCTTTAACTAGCCACTGGGATGCAATCAACGCAAC